CAAGAAGCTCTGACTTCTGTCTGAGTCAGGTCTCTTGACAAAGAGGCCCTGGTCTCCTGCGCAAGGAAGCCCACCCAGCTTTCTGCTGCTGAGGACCTTGCTGTGGGAAGTGAGAACATTTAGGAGATCAGCATATGTGATAAAGAGATTTAGAAAACATGACCTATAAGGAAGGGTGGGAGGAAATGCTGCTGTTTAGTCTAGGGGTGATGGAGGGTAGGCAGAAAACCCGGGGTTTTAAAAAAATAAGCTCTGTTTTGGAAAGTTTTATGCTGGGTGAAGCTCTATGGCAAGGCCAAGGAGGAAGGCTCTCCTTAGAGTTGGTCTCGCCAGGATGGTCTGGCCACTCTCAGCTGGGGCACAGGCAAGCAGTGAAGCACTTTCCATTCCCTCTTGTCCTGTATTTCCATGTCTCTGACAACTTGAAAATACCTTTCTGTTGAAAAGGGGACTTAAAGGGCTTTAAAATGGACGAGGTCTGAAGTCTGTTGTTCTTCCTGGGTTTCAGAGCAGGGTTAACAGCCCAGGAGTTAAGAGGTACCCACCTGCCAAAAAAAGTCACTGTTCTTAAACTGGGCACCACATTGCACTCCTGAGGAGGAGCAGAGCCCTGTGGATCAGCACAGCAGGAAGTAACAGCTCTTGGCCAGGCACTGAAGAAAAGAAAGGCCATCTTGGTTTGTTTTCTTCTTTTCTTCTTGAAGCTGCTCATCAGCTGTTGAATGTCAGATTTCCATAAGGCTGAAATCTGGGACCACATCTGCTTTTTCTCCCAGCCCTGTTAGTGAGCCAATGCTCTTAATGCTGTAAAACGGCCCCTGATTCCTATTTCTCCATAACACAGCACGTGGAGGCAGAACCACGCAGTATCCATTACCTTTGCTCTTGCTCAAGAGCATCCCACCAGGGGATTTGTGTTTACTTTGTAGTTTTGCAAATGCTTGAAGTCTAGGAAATGTTCCCCGATTCTGAAATTTTTGGCAGCAGGATTTGTTTCTGCTCTCTCCCAGCCTGGTGGGGAAAATCCCTCTTTTTGGGCAATAACGTAAGTGGGTTTGCCTGTTGTTTACAGCTGATGGTATCTGGTTCTTGGGAAGAGAAACACGTCACAAGTTGCTGTGGTGTGGCTAAGTGAGAGAGATGCCAGATTCCTGCACACCCCAAGCCCTGACCTATCTTCTACCTACCTCATGGCATCAGTGGCAGGTGGAGCTTTGCTTCAAGCCAGATTTTAAACCAGCTGGGTCAGAGGGAGAAACCAGGAGAGAGGAGAAATAACTTCCCTCAACCCCTCTCCTAGCAGGGCTGCATCCCTGAAGGCACAGAGCAGCGTAGCCAAGGAATTCTTTCCTCTAAGAGAAAGCCCAGGCATGAATCCCAGGCTCAGAATAAGAGAAAATAATCTGCCTTCCACGTGCTCACAGCCTGGTGGCCTCTCTTCTAGTGTCTTCTTGCTGTCCCAGCAGCAGGGGATGTAGTGACTCCTCTGTAGCCAGGGTGGGTAGGACAGTTTGGGGCAGGAGAGTGGCTGAGAGCAGGAGCAGTGGATGGAGCTGGAAGGAGAAGGCAGGAGGACGTGTCACTGCTTCTCACTTGGTCCCTGTCCTGGGGCTGGCTGACAAACTGCAGCTTCTTCTGCTTCCCTTTCCCTGCCACTCGGAGCCCCCACACCCCTCTCCCTTCCCCAGGTCTCTCCTGCTGGCTTTCTCCTACTGCAGGCATCCGGTCTTCTGAGTGTGAAGGACTATTTGGGAGGGTCTGATCCCACATTCCTCATGCTTGAGACTTCTCAGATACTCCAGCCAGTACAGTCACTTTAAAATGCAAAACAGACAAAATCTGCCTGAGTTTGCCAAAGACTGAAGCATCCCATTTGTTCCAGGCGATGCTAACGCTGGCGGTTTCACCGTTGAGTGACTTTGCTGTATCTTCTGCTGTCCTGCACCCTGCAAGGAGCCGTGAGGAGCCCAGGAGCTGGGGGACAAGAAGCTCCAGGTGAAGCAACGGGATTTCGTTCATCTTGAGAAGAAGGTGCGTCACGGTGATGTGTGACTTTCTGTGTAGGCTGAGGAGTGCACGCAGGTGGAGCACCTTTCTCTTTAATAAATAGCCAAACTGCTCATGCCTTTACTTGAAGCAGCGTTTGATGAGCCAACACAGCACAACCTCCCATGGGCAGCCGGATTTCCCAGGGCTGGGCGCAGCCAAGGGCAAGTGATCACTGGGGCAGGGCACGTCTGCAGGCTCCAAGGCTTTGTGGTGGGAGAAGCAGGAAAAATGGCAGGGAAGAAGGGCACCGGTGCCCGCGGCAGCGTCACCCAGCACGTGGGAGCACCCTGGAGAAGTGCCACCCGCCTGCCTGTCTCCTCCAGGCTGGAGCAGTCCCCTCGGGCTCTTTGCCCAGCCAAGCTGTCGGATGTAATTGCTCTTTGGGAAAACTTTGGGGAATCTGAGCTGTAATTGCCCAAAGCGTCTGCTGCCCTTCACGATCAGGTTGGAGCCCAGGCCGTGGCACCCTGGCAGAGGTGCCTGTGCTCCGTTGACGAGCATTTATTGCACAACCAACCCTGTCATGGAGCTGCCACCAGGAAATTCCCCAGCATAGCAATAGTGGAAAAACATGTAGTTATAATACTGTAGTGTAATTCAGCTGGTCAAATAAATAACAACCCGTGTGGGAACTGGGGGTGATCTTTATTCCATAATCTTTCCAGAGCAGGATTTTTATTAGAAGCTTCTATTTTTAAGTACTTTTCTCAAGCATCTCCCATGAATCGTTCATTCCTTCTGCCTGCTGTGGTGCGGTCCCTTCTCCAGCCAAACCCTCCATCTTTTCCCCACAGCTCCCAGGGTCAGCCTAACCTGGTGACTAAATCTTTCAAAGCCTGACCCTCATTCTTATTAATAATAGCTCAAAAAATGTGTTGGTTTTGCTAACATTGTTGAGTTTGGTAGGTCCTCTCCTGGGTTGAGACCTCTAGTGCTAAAGGCTTTAAGGCACGGCTTGTAGTTTAAAAGACATACTGCCCTTAGGACCTGGTCTCATTCAAGCAATGGCTTTTTTCCTGGCAGGATGTGACCCATGGAGGAGGATCAAACTGTTAATATTAACAGCCTGCTTCCGCTCAGATTAATGGGATGGTTGAACACACTCCTGGGAGCTGCATTGCCTTGGGTCAGGAAAGTCAGGAAGGACTGTGGATGTGTCCTGCACGATGTGAGACCCCTGAACTTGAGAAATCAAGCAGGAGCCAGGATCCCGGGAGCATTATACCTACCTTCCCAGGCAGCTTCTGCCCTTCATCACCATCCACGTAGGTGCTGTGCCAACAGACACCGTCCCTCCCTGCTGGGGTTCAGCTCGGTGTAATGGTGAAAGGGTCTGAAATGCATAAACATGTGGGGAAAAACAACTTTCTTTGCCCACATGGTTTTTATACACCATGGAGCCTGCCCAGCACATACAACACCCAGGCCTGGGTCTGCCCCCAGGGGCTTACGCCTAAACAAGCTGTGCTTCTTGATCACTCCATTCAATTTAAATTTGTGCCAGTGGCTGGTGCAAATTGTCCAGGGCTTCCTGCCAGTGCTTGAGTAACACTGAGGAGGAGAAAGTCTGGCAAGCAGAAGTCCTGGCTTGTCTGCAGGTGGTACCAAGGTTGTGTGTATTCCTGCTGCTCAGTGAGGTGTGCTGGCTGCCTCGGAAGGGGAAGAAGGTGCATGAAGGAAAAAATAAGTCTTGCTGCTGAAGAGCCTGCAGGCTGGATCCTCAGCTGGTGAAAACTGGAGCGGCTCCATGGAGGGTGTGATGTGTTGGTGAAGGGTCTGGCTGCCAGCCCTAGCTCCAGGCTCCTGGGAGAGCCAGGGAAGGGGCTGCTGGAGAGAGTCCCACCTCTGCTGCAGGGCTGGGCTGGCCCTTCTGTCATCCCAGTCCTTGGGCTGGCCAAGGTCTTCTTCTCTACAGGTTTGTTCCCTGTGACCTATGGAGAGGGGAGGTGGGAGGGAGCAGTTTTTGGGATGTGGCTTTGCCATCCAACTGCTTCTGCTTGGCGTTATGGTGTTTATCCTGCTCTGCTGAGCCCCAGGAAGACGGGAGTGGGGCTGGATACAGTTTGGTTGCAGCAGAGGGCTGGGGTCCAGGGTGAACACCCCAGCCCTTACCACAGTGTTTGAACCCACGTGGCTGCTGTGTGCCCTGGTGTCCCCATTCCCATGCCCGGGGAAGCAGTGGGTGGGAGACATTCCCTGCCTGGCTGTGGAGCTCCACGTCGGGCTGTGCCAGGACTTGTTCCACAGCCGCCCTGACGCCAGGGTGGTGGTGACCAGCTGCAAGTACCTCTCCCTTGAAGCCCAAGAGTTTGGGGTTTTCAAAGGCACCCTGCACACTCGGGTGTCACGGGGATGAGCCAGTGCATCGCAGTGAGCAGTGAGGCATCTTTGGGTTTGCAGCAGCAGGGCAGAATAGCCGCAATGAGGGAGATTCGGAGGCAAATGCAAAGAACTTGCAGATCTCCATGCCAGGAGGGAGATGGTGTGCTTGAAGGGTCTTTCTGGCTCTGAGCCCTGCTCTGCCATGCTGGCAGCAACATAGGGGTCTGGAGCGGGCAGTTTGGGGTGGAAGGAAGGACACCTGCTCTAGATGGGCACAGAGAGAGCTCAGCCCTTGGCTGCGGTGGCTGGAGCACGCAGCTCCCATCTGAGCTGAGCTTGGCAGGAGCAAGACCTCTTCCCCAGTGCTGACCCTGGCAGGAAAGCTGCCCTGGTGTGACTGCACTGATCGTTTGCTGGGAATACAAGGAACGGTGTAACTCTCCCTTCTGCAGGGGCGGAGGCTGGGGCTGGCTTGTGGCATCCCTCAGCTGATGGTCAGGGCTGGTGGGATAACACTGTCCAGACGGAGAGGTGACTGGTTTTCTTCTTGGCTTGTTGCCCAAGCAGGAGCCAACCTTCTGGGTCTGCCCGTATAGTCATGCTTGCATCAAAGGTGCTTCTGTGTCGCCTGGGACCAGGGCTGCTGCACCCCGAGCATGAGGCTGCCTTAAATTCACACCAGCACCCCAGGAAAAAGACTCCTATAGCCCGTTCCCAGGGACTGGGGTGCCACCAGCAGCCTGTTGCTGGTGACAAACCTGTCCTTGTGCAACAAGGTCTGTAGTAGTGGGACCAGAGCCTGCTCCTGGGCTGGGTGCGATGCTTCTCTTGGGTTACTCTGGACCCTCTTAGAAAGGACAGGATTAGTTTTGTTCAACGGCAGTTTAAAAGTTAAAAACAAAACCAGTCCTAGATGCACTAACGCTTCGATAGATACTTCTGTAAATGGCAAACCGTCATACTCTGTTTTTTGAGGCTTTTTTTTGTGGCTTGAAACAATTTCTTTTATTCCAACATGGCAGTTAATTAAAAAACTGTTCACATTCTCAAAGCGTTCATTTTCCATCCAATCTCCAACAGTTTCCATTTGCCTGAAATAAGTAGGTTTGGTGGTTTGGTTCTGGTTTTTTGTTGTTTTTTTTTCCCCTGTGTAAAGGAACCAAACCCCAAATCCAGCACTTCAACACTAATAAACCTGGAGAGCTCCAATCTGTTCTGTGCTGCCGGCTCCCTGGAGGTTGGCTGCTGCCAGCACTGGGGCCAGGGCTGGGGAAGAAGGAGTTAAAGGTTTGCACTGGAAGAGCAATCCAGCTGCCTGCAGAGGCTTAGATCCCACTCTTTCTTCCTCAGTGTCTGATGGCTGGGGAAAGCCAGCTCCAAATTCAAATGCCATTTTCTAGACCAAGGACAAGATTATATCTGATCTCCCTGCTTCACCCTCTCAGAAAAAAAACAGTACGAGCTGTCTTTGGGACTGGGCAGGCTGGTGTTTATTTCTATTTGCAGGTTTGGGGCTTTGCAATCTGCAATTTGCCTGGTTGTGCTTCCAGGCTGGTCACTCCGGGAGCTCCTCTCCGAGCAGGGGCAGCCCAGACCCCCAGGTGATGGGCAGCGGTGGGACAAGGGATGTCTTTGTCCCCTGTGCCCCATCCTTCAGCAGGTGGCTGCGTAGGGGAGGGCTGGCTGCTTCTGCCATGGGAGGCACTGGGCGGGACTGGGGAATACTGGGAGCACTGCCACGGAGGGGTGTGCTGTGGGATCGCAGGGAACGACCGTGGAACGGAGGGAGCGCAGGAGCACGGTGCTGGATGCGGCTGAGGTAGGTACCTACCTTCTTCCTAACTCCTTCTGCCCAGGGCTGATCAGCTTCTGTCCGTGGGTGAGCGGTGCCCGGCTGGGTGAGGGATGCTGTGTGTGGCTCTGACCCTCTGGGCACAGACTGGAGGGGAGGTGGGACGAGGGGGATCGGGGTGGGCTGGGTTAGGGAGGCAGGAGGTCGAGCTGTGGCCAGGCTGAGCCTTGCTGTGGCCCACACAGTTGAGGAGGCTGTGGTCAAGGAATCCCAGCTCGGGGCATTGTGTCCCCACAGAGCTGGTGGCAGCAGAGTGAGAAGCAGAAGGAGCCTGCTCCACGTCCCCGTCTGGGGTTTGCTCACAGGCAGCTCTGCTGCATCATTTATTCCTGTCTGACCCAAAGGGGTCTACGGGGGCTGTTGAGCCTTCGCCAAAGAAGCAGCGATTACTTCTGGTGTCTTTAAACGTGGCTGTTCCTGCCCCCTCTCCCGCAGAGCCCTCTTGCAGCCCGAGCAAGATCTCCGCTGGCTGAGAGTGCTGCAGGCGACCGAGCGGCACCTTCCCCCAAAATGATGGAAAACGCAGTGTTTATGTCATTTACGTTCTACAGCACAATATTGATTTTAAAAATGTATGTCGTTGCCATCATTACGGGACAAGTGAGGCTCAGAAAGAAGGTAAGTTCCAGTTTCCTTTACCTTTTTCTCCCTTTCTGGCTTTTCCCTTAGGTGTCTGTGGTTTTTCTTTCTTCTTTTATTCCCGTAAAGGCCAGCCACATTTTCCTCAAGCAAGCTGATTTTTCTTTGACTGAAGTTAAAAGCAAAACATGTTGCATAGCTGTGGCAGATAAATATCTCGCTTCTCTTTGGCTCTTTTTGTTTATTTCTACCATCTCTAGCTTGATGTTTATAATTTCTGAATCCTAATCTAAATAGTCATTTCAGATCTAAAATGCCACGCAGGTGAGCTGCTTCTGGAAAGAGACTGTTTACAGTTAATTAGCCATGTCTGAAAGAAAAGGGGTTGGGGGGGAAGGTTTAAGAACAAATTATTGCAATGGTCTTTTTTCTTGCAATGTAGCAGAAAGCTTTTGTGCTTTCGGAGGCTGAATCGCTGCATGAACGCTCCAGGGGAGCAGAAAGTCATGGAGAATAAAAACAATAGCTGGAGGAAATGGCTCTTGGACACGAGGGGAAATACAGGGAGGACCAGGAGTTAACCAGACCTTTTCTCGCCCACAACCTAAATTGAACTCCTGGCAAAATTCAGCTGTCTGTAAAACCTGTTTTAAAGTATTTGAGGAGTTTCTGGCTACATTAGCGCAGCGGGAGGGAGAGATTTCTGCTCTCAGATAAAACATAAAGGTAGATATCCCTGTGCTCTAGCATCATTGTAACTGATGATTGGGCTTTTCCTCGTGTATTTCTGAATGATGCTCCAGCCCTGGGACAGTCTGGGCTTGTAACATGATTAAATAAAGCACCAAGGTCCTTTCCAGGCTGCAAAGTGAAGCTGTTGCATGTAACCAGGTCTCTGAGAAACAGCTTCTGACCATAAGTGGCGAGCTCATATAAATAATTTTTATTTCTAAATGTATTAGTATAGAATCATAGAATAGATTGGGTTGGAAGGGACCTTTAAAGGCCATCTAGTCCAACCCACCTGCGATGAGCAGGGACATCTTCCCCTAGATCTTGTTGCTGATAGCCCCATCCAGCCTGACCTTGAATGTCTTCAGGGATGGGGCATCGACCACCAACCTGTAAAACCATACATCTAGGCAAGATGTAGGACCTGATTCCTCTGGGGCAGGTTTCAGTCACACAGAGTCACTGCCAACAAACCAGCCAGGAAATGTTCTTTCTCAGTTGGGTGGACTAATCTGTCGGTCTTGATTATCTTTTGGATGCCACATTCAGTGTCTGCCAGCTCTGTGCCAACAGTGATCTTATTTGGCAGTTGGCAACGTCTCCTTTCGATGGGTTTCATGGGGAGAAGTGGACTGGGATCAGGCTGGAGCTCCCTTGAATCCCCCAGTTTGGGACCTGCTTGGCTGGCAGAGTTGGGTTTTTCAGAGGATACGGAAAACCTGTTGGGAGGTGCAGAATTTAACCCCCAGGACCATGCACGTGGAAGCACAGCAGCTCCTGTGTTTGCGAAGGGTGGTGAGAAATTGGGGCTGAAAGGTCTCCTTGGGCAGGAAGAAATCCCTACTGGCCTTAAAGATTAGGGGCAAAGCTTCTACCTGTAAAGATCCTGAGCACATTATGAGCACGTATGTTATAGGGACTCTCTTTTGCAGGCGTTTGCAAACCCGGAGGACGCGCTGCGCAACGGGGGGCTGCAGTACCACCGCGAGGACCCCGACGTGGAGCGGTGCCGCAGGCGAGTATGCAGCAGTGCTGGCATTCCCCCTGCCCCATCCCTGGCAGCTGCTGGCAAAGCAGCAGTGGGAAGCTAAAGGGTTCATTAATTAAGTAATTAGCTAGATGGGTTGAATGCCTGGAGCTCAGCTGTGGGAGCCTGTGCACCGGAGCAGTTTAATCGTTACCGGGAGCGTGGTGTGCACTGGAGGAGCTGGTGGAAGGACCTGGGTGCAGACTCTGACACAATTAAACTCACTCCTAGATGCTCAAAGTCCCACAAGCTCCCAAGGGCTGTACCTACACCCAAAGGCTCCTCATGCCTATGCTCAAAGTCCCACAAGCTCCCAAGGGCTTGTCCTGTACCTACACCCAAAGGCTCCTCGTGCCCTGCTCCAAAAGGAGCCCAAATCCCTCCAGATCCCTGCACAGCTTGGACAGGGAACTGTGCGACTGGTCCCAGTGCTGTATGTGGCTGCCCCTTTTTGGGGATTTGGGAAGAGTCTGGACATGATTGCAGTAACTTCTGCCTCCCTAATTGGGCAAACTCTGAATCTTCCCCCTCTTCTGTGGGGCTCACAGTTCCTTGGAGGTAAAACACAGGGTCTTTCAGTCCCGGGCTTGGTTTGCTGTCCTCCTCACCCAGAAGGAGGTGCCCCAAGCGTTGGGCTGGATCACTGGTGACGTGCAGGAAAGGGGCTGGAGCCGTGCCCTGCCATCACTGAGCCCTTGGCTCCCAGCTCTGCTGAGGGGAGGGGGGATCTGCACCATTCACCTCTCCCTGCATGCCGGATCTGCTTTAAAAAACATCCAGTGCCACCTAATCCCTGGGCTTTCAGTAGGAGGAGAAAGGGAAACAAGCTGTTCCCTTGCTATGAAAAAGAAAATAATGGTAGTAATAATAATCATAATCCTCTTTTGATTAGTCAGAAAGACAAACTTCCATAAAAATAAACAAACAGAGCTGCAGCAAAGACCTGGGGCAGCCTGGGATCTGCCTTGTGCAGTTAAAGCACTCAGGGTTGGTCCTTGCTGATCCCTTCAGAGCCCTGGGGAAAACGAATTAAGCCCAAGGTATTTCCCCTGCAGAAGGGTGATGTCGGGTTTCATTCTCAGGTCTTATCAGGAGGGGAGCAGGGCCATGGCTGGGCTCTGTGCAGGGCAGGAGGAGAGCAGGGGAGAGCAAGCAGCAGTTTCCCCCTCTCCTCTTGGAGAGGCCCCCGGCTGCATCTCAGCTCTGGAACAACAATTTGCCTGGTTTTTATTTTTTTTGCATTCTCCTCCCCATTCTTCCATTTGTCCTCCAGCTCTGCTGGACCTCTGAGGACTTTGGACGGGGCTGCCATGGGGCAAGGTGGTGGGTGTCTGCTCATGTCCCCACCCCTGGGCATCGCAGTGAAGGGGAGGAGGTCAGGCCAGTGACATTCACTGCTTTGTCTCCCTGCTCACAGACTGACCCTGCCTGGGAGCAGTCACCCTCCAAAAAACCCCGGCACTCGGTGTTAAAAATTTCTGATGGAGAAGCTTTTGGAAAACCTTGGCCTGAGGAAGTTGGTGTGTTTGGTGGGGCTGTCACCAAGGTGGACGTGGGGTCATCTCCCGCTTCATAGACCTGACCCAGGGGCAGGAGAGGGGGTTTAAAACACAGCCTTCTTTCTTTTTCAAAGTCAGTTTTCAGCCAGGTCTATCCCAGCCTGTGTCTGCACTAACGAGCTGTGACTGTGTGTCCTAAAACTTCCTGGCCACTTCTCAGCTTGCACAGCAGAGCAGCACAGGCATTTTGGCCTTTGCTTCAGGGAAGAAATTGCTTAAAATTTTCTCTTGGCTTTGTGAACATTCAAACGTCCTGGGGAACAGGAATGGGGAAGCAGGGGCAGCTCTTATCAAGGCTTCATCTCTGTGTCTCAAACCTTCAGACATGTAGGAAAAAGGCAACTGAGCCTCACGCCTGGGTCACCCTCCAGCACAGGTCTGTCCCCACTGAGCAGGGCACAACCCAAGAGTCCCCCCACATCAAAGCTTGGGAATGGGGCTCTGTGCTGCAGAAACAGCTCTTTCATTGCAAAGGAACCAAAGAAGGAGAGGGGGAGGCGGTGGGAGGGCGAGGACAACCTGCTGCTTTGGGGACCAATTTCCCTCCTTCGCAGAGCAGTCCCTGGGGGAGGAGGGACACGGGTCTCAGCAGGATCCACTGCTGTTCTGTAGTGGTGTGGGTGGTGGTGGGTGATGTTGTGACACCCAGGCAGGTGGAGCCTAGGTTTTGGCCCCATCAGTGCCAATGCATCACCACATGGCCACAGCAGTCCCTCTGGCCTGACTACGGTGCAGTTAAGCAGGTGATGCTGGCAGAGCATGGAGGTGCAGGGGGTGCTCGGGGTGCTCCTCTCTGGTCCCCTTTGGTTGCACTTACGGAGAGGGGTGAAGCCACAAACCCTCCCATTCTGGGAGTTTCTCCTCTGGAAAAAATGCAGTCTGGAAACCGCCTTGTTATTGTGTAACGTGGCCACATCTGGGGCCGTGCCGTGCTGGCGCCACACCAGCTCCGAGCTTCTCTCAGCTTTGGCGGGGGCTTTGTTTTGCTTTGTTTATTTAAAAGCTCTGACCCTCAAGCTGTCATCCCTCACAGCAAAGGTGTCCCAGTCACGGAGGGCAAGCTTTGGGAGCATCCCAAGGGAGAGACACCAGGTGTGAAGTCCTGCTGCCTCTGTGTGTAGGGGGGATCTGACTCTTCTGGAGGCTGTGTCTGCCCCATCCAACAGAGGAGAGGGCCAGCAGCACCCAGGGATGGGCTCTCTGGCTAGAAGGGATGGGAGACATCAGAGAAGCCTGGTGGGAACCTTATCTCTCTTTTCAGAGCCCACCGCAACGACATGGAGAACATCTTTCCCTTCCTCTTCCTGGGAGCCATCTACTCCATGCTGAATCCCAGTCCAGTAGTGGCCAGGATCCACTTCTTCATCTTCTGCGTGGGGCGCATCATCCACACCATCGCCTACCTCCTGCGGCTGAAGGCGCCCACGCGCTCCGTGGCCTACAGCGTGGCACAGCTGCCCTGCTTCTCCATGGCCCTGCAGATCCTCCTGGCCACCAGCTCATACTGGTAGCACCCAACGAGACTGACCATCCAAACCCTGAGCTCTGCTGGCTTCCCTGGCTGGACTGGGTGGTGTGTGTGAGTGTTCACGTGTGTGTGTGTGTGCACATGGTGTGTTCCCAGGGAGGCCACTCGCGCCCCAAGGATGCTCAGTGCAACCTTTATCGATAAAGACCCTGTGCTACTGAAATTGGGCAGGGAACTCACCAGAGAGAAGGGGCACATCTCCCTGTGGAGCAGGAAGGGGATGCGGAGGCAGGTTTCTCTCCCCCCTGCTAAGGATGGGAGTGGGAGAGCACACAGACACTGCTCGAGGAAGGGGGGTCATTGAAGGAAGGAAGGTTTTCTGGCCCAACTGCATTCGGAGCTGGGAAGGGGAAGATGTGCCCTTTCTCTTTGGTCACAAATTCCCTGTGAATCGGGAAGGAAAACTCATGAGGGTCCCACGGAGTCTCTTGGTCAGCAGACGTGGGTGGTCGCAGCCATGTGGGTCTGTTGGGAGGTCCCTTATGTTCTCCCTCCTGCGAGGAGCACAGGAGGCAGGTGCCTGCCAAGCAGTGTAATGTGGAAGTCAGTATCTCAGGGGTGATGCTGTGAAGCCACCAAAGTGTTCAGTGCTCCCAGCACCGCCTCATCTCACCCCATGGGATGCAGCTCCCTGCCAGGGAGCCTGGCCGCAGGCAGGAGCCACCATGTCCCAGCAAAGACACCCCGTGGCCAGTGTTGGGCAGCTCCAGGCCAGCAGAGACTGTGACTTTGCCATCTCTGCAAGATGCAGGAGGGACTTGCCTGGAGCAGCCAGAAGGGATGGCTTACTCTGTAGAGCACCAGACCCTCGCACAAAGCTCTGGGATTTCTGGAAAGACTGAGGGGCTCACACAAAACGGGAGGTTTGCACTTTGCAGACAGAGCTTTCTCCCGAGGGTGGTGCCTGCCTTCACATGTCACTGATGTCTGAAAACGCTCCCAGGGCAGCGGACTGAATTTCTCTCCCTTTGTTTGTAGCCTTGCCCTGTCCACAAAATGTCCTGTTGCTATTTGGGGAATGTGCCGTGACTGCTTCGGGGTGTTTTCTTTCAGCTCTTTCCTGCTGTTCCCTGCTGCCGGGCACAGCCTGGATCAGCTGGTGTTGGCAGAAAGCTCTGGAAAGGGGAAGAGTGGCAGGAGGAGGATACCTCTGCTCTGCTGGTCACCTGAAAGCCGTTGTGTTGGAGAGGAGAGGCTGGGACCAGGGTATTGCAGGATGACAAACCCTGCATGAGCTCCTCTGTCCTGAAGTGCCAAGGGCTGGTCCCCAGGCCACAGCAGCACGCAAAGGAGAGCACAAGGCAGGAGGAAGCCTGTGCTGTTCAGTGCCTCCTCCCTCCTCTGACAGCAACACTAAGGTGACAGGGGGAAATGAGTAGAAAATAAATTCCCCTTCCACCTGTCCTAAGCACTAAAACTGTTCCCTTAATACCCCTGTCCTTAGAGATGCTCTTACTGAGACCTCACCGAGCGCCTGCGTTCACAAAGCACGAGGTGAAAGACCAGCTCAGACTGATGCTCTGAGCCCTTGCCCAGCTTGGGCAGCAGCTTCTGTCCCGGTAACTCCTGACCCCAGAGCAGACGTGGCCTCGGGCTGAGCTCTTTGGAGAGGTTTGGAGCAGAGTGTGCAGCTCTCCCGTGGGGGATGTGGGACCCACCAAGTGTGGAGGGTGGGCAGGACTGCAGGTTCAGCAGTTTGCCCATGGCCACCTCTCATTTGCACAGCCTCCACAGATGTCTGCCTAATAGATACCCTTCTTAACAAGCCTTTTCTGCCCCACGTGGTGCACAAGGTCCCAAACCCCTGTACGTTTCGCTGCTGCAGCACATGCATCCTGGTGGCAGGAAGCAAATATTCCCAATAAAAACAAATCATTGTGCTCTGATACATCCTTCCTTCGGGAGCAGCAGATGCAGCTGGGCAGCAGCTGGGTCCAGCCCCAGCAGGATGGCTCCCCAGCTGCAAAGCGCTTTGCTAAACCTCACTGCAGAGCCTGGAGTGCCCGGGGACTTCAAAAGGGACATCCCTTCCCCTGGGGCCCACCTGCCCTGCAGAGGAAGCTCTTTTCCAGGTGTGTGTTATTTGTGCTGATCCTTTAAATGCAGCAGAGCTGGGGCTGGCAAAGCATTTATGCTCAGTTTTCCTTCCCAGAATAGCAGGAACAGAAAGCTTGGTGTTTCCCAACCCTTTTTCACCCTAGTTCCCCCAAAGCAGCTTAGCAGCGTGAGATGCTTTGTCCCAGGGAGCTTTCTTCACAGCCAAGCTGCTGCTTAAACCCTGGAGGGCTGGAGAAGTTCAGGTAAGACATGGTTGCTCTTGTTTCTGTGCTTATGACTTGCAAAGGAGCTGCCTGTATTTTTTCAGGCTCAGCAGCCCCCTCCTTTAGCTGGTACCTATTTCTTTAGCTTCCCCCCTATTTTCTTAAATTGTTGGTGTTTAGGAGGTGCTGTCCCATCGGTGTCTGCATTACCTGGTTGAGATGGACGGACAGACAAAATCGCTCCACTTGGAGCCATTGGGAGTTCTTTCTTTCCCTTGTGCTTTTTGGTTTCAAATAAGAAAGGCAGTGGCTTTATAAAAATGGACTCTCTCCGATAGGTGTTGCTGTGGTTAGAGATGTAGCTGGGACTGAGATTTTTGGCATGGAAAGGAAGAAATGGGGGTGCAGAGCCCCTCCAGCCCCCAGAGCTGCTGGTTCCTTCAGCCTCTGCTAACCTGCCTGTTCCGTGCCTGGGGCTGATGCCCTGCTCAGGGAAGCCGGGGTTACACGCCGAGCTCTGCTTTCTTCTTTTTCATTAGAAAAACTCAACAAACCCTGCTGTACTGGCTGCAGGGAAAAGCTTGGGAACGTGAACTCTCCTGGCTCAAAAAGAAAAAAAAAAACAACCAGAAAAAGCCCACAAGGCAAACTGCAGAGAGGCCCAAGCATTATTCTGAAATGCTGTGGAGGTTTGTGGGAGGAAGGACAGAGCCTGGCTGCCTGGTCAACCCCAGCTGGGCTCTCCCAGGACTGAGGCAGTAGGAGCCACCAGCTCTCCTGTGGCACAGCCAGGGATGTTCAGTGTTTGTGGGGCAAGTGAGGAGCTAAAGCATCTCCTGCCTTTTCCCAAATAATATCCTAAAGCCTGGAGCTCCCAGATTCCCTCTCCAGCCTTGGTGCAGGGGGAGGATGAGTCCAGGGTGTCTTCTAGCTCCAGGAGAGCAGGGACAGTGGGTGCACCTACCAGTCTCTGGGTTTTCGTGCGTGCGTTGTGTGTGCCAACAATGTGGTTTTCACACCTGGCTCACACCTGAGGTGGTAACACTGTAAAACCCACCTGGGACTGCAGAACTGTGAGATTTGGTGCTTAAGTATTTGAATATGACTCACGCTGCCAGTACGTGTCTTCCCTCCACCCTGCTGAGCCCAAGGTGTCTGGAGGTGGGGGAAAAGCAAGTGGAGCCCCAGCACAAACCACTTTACCTCCTGTGCACTTCCAGTCAGTTCAGCCCCAGGATCCCTCCTACCCCTGAGCTTTGGGCTTACCCCCTCCTCGCCTACCTGTGCCTCTTCCCAGATCTCTCCTGTTCATTGAGGCCTTCTGCTGGTAGAGTCTGGGACAAAGATCCCCCTGCCTTTGGCATCTCTCCTGTGACACAGGTCACTCAGCCCTCTTTTCCCTCCCAAAATCTCCTGTTTCCTCTAGCAGATGTGGGGTTCTTCCATCTCATGCTGTAGGGTTTTGCCACACAACCCCCCCCCCCTTATTCCTCTGGAGGAGGTGGGATCCCTGTGGCTCATAGGGAGAGCGAGAAGAGCCAGCTCTTACAGGTATGGACATCCCAGGGATTTGTCCCTTGGAAAAGATAACTGTGTTCAATGATGTTTCCCTGCTCCTCTCTGGCTCTTACGGGGGTGAAGTTGGCACAGGGAAAACTTCATCCACTGGGGTTTTGCTTGCCTGGCTCTAGAGCTGAGCTGCAAGGTGTCCCCAGTTTGCGACAGAGAGAAACCTGGTGAAATTCAACGAGGGCAAGTGTAGGTGCTGCACCTGGGGAGGAATAACCCCAAGCACCAGGACAGGTTGGGGCTGACCTGCTGGAGATCAGCTCTGAGGAAAAAGATCTGGGAGTTCTGGTGGACAATAGGATGACCAGGAGCCAGCAATGTGCCCTTATGGCCAAGAAGACCAATGACATCCTGGGGTGCATCAAGAAGAGTATGGCCAGCAGGTCGAGGGAGGTCATTCTCCTGCTCTGCTCTGCCCTGGGGAGAGCCCATCTGGAGCACTGGGACCAGTTCTGGGCTCCCCAGTTCAAGAAGGACAGGGAACTGCTGGAGAGGGGACAGCAGAGGGCCACAAAGATGGTGAGGCGCCTGGAGCATCTCTCTTACGAGGAGAGGCTGAGGGACTTGGAGAAGAGAAGACTTAGGGGGGGGATCTAATCAATGCACACAAATACTTAAAGAGAGGGTGTCAGAAGGACAGGGCTGGTCTTTTTTCAGTGGTGCCCATGGACAGGACAAGAGGAAATGGGCAAAAACTTGAGTATAAGAAGTGACACCTAAATATGAGGAGGAACTTCTTTACTGTGAGGGTGGTAGAGTCCTGGAAGAGGCTGCCCAGGGAGGTGGTGGAGTCTCCTTCCATTCCAAACCCTCCTGGACATGTTCCTGTGCAACCTGCTCTGGGTGGACCTGCTTTGGCAGGGGGGTTGGAGGAGATGATCTCCAGAGGTCCCTCCCAACCCCATGGGGTTCCATGGGTGCCATCTGTGTGCCAGCCCCAGGGGAGAAGGAGCCGGACCGGGGGTGTCCCTGGCCCGGTGTGGGGAGGGGTGTGGAGCAAAGCAGGACGATGTAGGGGGGGGGGCTCCGCTCCGCACCCCCCGACCCCGCCGGGCCTCCGCGGTCCGCGCTGCGCTGCGCTCCCCTGCGCGGGGCTGCAGCTCCCTCGTGTGGCTGCGGGGGGACCCGGCTCCCTCCCACCCGGGCACCCCAGCATGGGTGCGGGCTGGGCAAGGAGGGGTGGGCAGGACAGGGGAGGGGGCTTGGGGTGTTTAGGGCAGGGATGGATGGATGGATGGGTGCTGGGTACCATTCCTTGGGGAGTGGGTTGAGGAGGAGCCTCCTCTCTGTTCCTGCGCCTGTAACCTCTCCAGAGCAGGCAGATGTGATGCTCTGTCACATTCAGGCTCAGTGCTTATAAATACTTAAAGGGTGGGTGTCAAGAGGATGGGACTGGTCTTTTTTTCAGTGGTGCCCAGGGATAGGACAAGAGGAAATGGGCACAAACTTGAATATAAGAAGTTCCACCTAAACATGAGGAGGAACTTCCTTCCTGTGAGGGTGGCAGAGCCCTGGCAGAGGCTGCCCAGGGAGGTGGTGGAGTCTCCTTCTCTGGAGACATTCAAACCCACCTGGAGACGTTCCTTCACAACCTGCTCTGGGTGGACCTGCTCTGGCAGGGGGGTTGGACTAGATGATCTCCAGAGGTCCCTTCCAACCCCGTGTGATTCTGTGATTGATTCCCAGCCCCACTGATCGCCTGTGGGCAATAATTCTTCCTTGGCTTTCTAACACCCACTACAAAGGGAACCTTTGCTTCCTCCCTCCTTCCCGAATTGTTACAGAGCATTTACACCCCCAGGGGAGAGCTACGATCCAGTTTCCCAAAAGCTTTGCTGTTGCTCTAAATTGAGTCTTCCTGGGGTTTGGAAAGAAGCACCAGTGAGCAAAATATCAGCTGAGGGGTGGAGATGCTCGTCCAAATGGAACACAGAGTTTGGGGTGACCGTTGCATCCCCCAGGACAGGAGGGGCTGAGATGCTGGGGGTGACATGTCACTGTCACACGTACGTGTGTTTCTGCAGCTCCTCGGTGGTGTCAGCAGGACTCGGAGGGTCTCTGGCCCTTCCCGTTGCCACCAGAGGGAGAAGGGCTCAGCGCAAGGGTAGAGGAGGATGCTGTAACCACTAGATGCCTGTGTAATTTGTTCTGGATGGGGACAACCAGGCTGGCATCCCTGCGAGCTGGAAAATGTGAGCTCTGTTTTGTCTCGCTGCCGTGGCAGCCGATGCTGATGACAATACAGAGTTGTTGTCACTAAAATATCGCAGGGGCAAACTTCAGCTTTTTGTCAGTCAGAAAGCCACGCGCAATCGTTGGGCTGGGGGGTCAGAAACAAGGAAAGGGGAGGGGGGCACAGTGGGGTCCTCCCATCAGCGCGGACTTGCCCTTTGGGAGTCAGCTGGTTGAAAAACAACGGCTTTGAGCAGGGAAATACAATTTGCAAATGATGTTCTTGCAACCTTCTCCCCCTGCACCTGAAGTTGTGGTGTGTGCCTGGCTGTGCCTGCAGTGATGGTGGAGGAGACAATCTCCTTATTTCTCCAGTGACTCCAACTCTCTGAGCAGGTCCAGACCTCCACATTGC